GAAAGAATCCCGCTTCTGCCTCCCAAGTCTGGGGTTGCAGGGGTGAGCCACCACGCTCAGGAGCTACATCTGTATTTCTGATTGCTGAAAAACAACCTTCTGTGACATTTGAAATTGTGTATTCGTGAATATTTTCTTCTGGGAACACATTGGTGTTCCTTCATCCACAGAGAGTCTACACCTCAAGCTTTTCACAGAATGCCAGAGTGCAGTGGTTTCAACAGAGATCATAAGGCAGTCACTCTCTGACCGCTTACAGCAAATCGGGCTCCAATGTTCCTGCAAGGTCAGGGTGACTGCCAGTCAACTTGAACAAAGTCAGCCTCAAAGCCATCGATTGACCCATTTGCAGCCTTGGTTCACGAGCTCCCTCCCCACCCTAGGTCCTCCCGTGGCCTCCTCATCCAGTCCCCCTGCTCCTCATCGCCCCTGCCAAGGCCTACAGGCTCTGAGGATGTCAACCCCCCGCCCCCAGCCTCAGGTGCAGTACTTGCTGTATCTGAGATCTGCTCCAGCCAACCAGAAGACTTAAAGCTGACCAATGAAGCCTCAATAAGCAGCTCGGAGAGATTCTAGGCCTTCTTCCCAGGCTGGCCTGAGCTTCCACGGCTTCTGGGCAATGCTCCTGTCTCTGCCTTCCATCTCACTGTAGGAGTGCTAACTTAGAAATGCCTAAAGATCTGGCTTCTTACCTGGGTTCTGTCGTGGAGCTCAGTCTGCCGGGCTTGTGTGGCTAGCTAGCGCTTGTACTCACTAAGCTGCCTCCCTGGGCTTCGGATCAAAATTAGTTGGTTTTGAACAGCTGATTTGAAATTTGTGTGTTGGGACTGTAGTTCAGCACCATCAAACAAACAAACAAACAAAAATATCAAATGAGGGAGCGTGGGTGAGACTGGGAGGAGACGAGAGACGGGGCTGCAGGGGGGATACAAAGTGGATAAATTGTAATAATTAAATATATAAATAAAATTTTTTAATAGCAAATGGATGTGAAAGTGACAAAGGCAAAGAATAGCCTTGTCTCTGAGGGACAATCTATAGGCTGAGAGGGGGCATCACAAAACACTATAAGGACCTTGAGTCAGTCCTCTCAGATGTGTCTTTACCATGCTTTTATTTACGTCTTTGTTTCATTTACTTATTATTTATTTGTTTGCTTGTTTGCATTCCTGGAGATGGAACCCAGAGGCTTGCACGTGCTGAGCAAGTTGTCTAACACTGAGCTACTTCGCCAGTGACTGTATTTTTATTTCTGCTCAAGGCTGAAAGCAAAATGATTGTGTCGGTTTTCTCAGGCCCCTCCACCAGTATGAGGGCACATAATCTGGAATCAGTTCTGTGAAAAGTGAGGTTGTGAAGGAGCCCAAAACAACCCAGCAACCATGAGCAGTACAGAGTCGCTGTCCGAAAGGAGCTGAAGAGCCCCCAGCTGCAGCTGCTGCCGGCTGAGCCCCTATGCGTGGCTCAGATTTCCACAAAGCCGGCAGAAAGTGCTGTGGTTGTCTGGGTAAACAAATAAGAGCTTAATTTTGAGGTCTGTCTACATTTAAGGTTCTTTATATCCAACTGCATTTCAGTTCCAAAAAAAGCAGTTTCCTTTCCCACCAGATCTGAGGCACCCTTATTAGTGAACAGAAAGGCTGTCGGGAATCAAGCCTTACCTTGACTCATACATCCCAAGTAACAGAAGCTCATGGGTGAGGGTGTGACAAACTTTTCTACAAGTTAGGTGACCTGAGAAACACAACCAGGCAGCATGGTTTGCAACCTGCACAACCTAGTCTACACACAACAGGATGACAGCAATGACATCATTGACAACAATGACATCAGTGTGGACAGCTTAAGACAATGACCTGGAGGAAAAAAAAAAAAACAATCCCTAACTTCAAAACTATCATCTATGACTGCTGGAAAGTCACGGTACTGCCACCCAAACTCTCCAAGAACTGCTTCTCTTTCATCCACTCCTTTCACACACCCTACCCCTGGCTGACAGTTTGGGATGTTTTATGGATGTGACTAACTATGACAGTTGACCACGTAAAGCGAGCAGAACCAAGGGAGAGCTTTAATGTTTAAACTTTCAGCTGCCTCACCCTTTCAGCAGAAGTCAAGGAAAGGATCTCAGAAGAGTCTGCTGGTCTCCCAGAAGCGATATCTGAGGGCTAGGGTGTGGCTCAGGGGGTAGAGTGCTTGCTTAGCTGCACAAAGCCCTGAGTTGGGGCTGCAGACCACAGCTGGGATAAGGGCAGGAGAGGAATCTTTCCATAGACCCTAGTTCTTCGAGACGAAGAGTGCCATGGTGCTTTGGGTGTCTTCCAATGTCTTGTGGGTCTTTCTGTTCCTCTCGGTTGTTGTTGTTGTTAGTGGTTTTGTTAAACTCTGGGAAGGGTTAGCCAGTGAGAACGTGGGCCAGGAGTCAGGCAGACCTGGCTGGAAGCCAAGTCTCGTTTTAATTTCAGTGACTCCCTCCTTCAAATAAGTGCAGTCATTTCTGACCTGCCTGCTTTCCATTTTTTATATGTACAAATAATAATCTATTAAACATCTTTGCATGAAAATATGGCTGCTTGGGGCAGGCACAGTTGGCCGTTTATTCTGGGGTCCTTCATCCCCCCTCCCTTCTGCGGTACCCCATTGTTATTCAGGAAGCCATATACCCCATGAACCTTGAAGCCTACCCACTGCGGCAGCCACACCCCTTGGGAATGGCACCTCGGGTGTACACGAGTCTCTCCACGAGACAGTGAGAGAGAAGACACATGTTGTGTTACTGAGATTCAGGGGTAGCATTTCTTGCAAAGGGATTCTTCCTGACTGGCCATTGTCGTGAGACCAAGAGGCCCTGGCCTACAGCAACTGACACGCAAAGCCTTCGGCAGGAGGCTGTGCCCTGTCTCCATCCATGTTGTTGCCCGCCATCCTTCCAAGAATTAAATGCAAGAGTGGAGAGTGTTCAAGCAGGAGGAGCTTTATTAAGAACTTGGGATTAAATAACCTGAGCTTAATTAACTAACTTTAAGTAGACTGTCACGTAGAATTTGACGATTTCAGCGTATCAAATTTGAACTCTCGGTAGCAGTGGGATGCTAGCCAAGAGCCGTTTCTGCTCTGAGAAGTGTCTCAGCTCTGGGAAGCTCTCAGAGGGCTGGGGGTGTCAACCAAGAGAGGTTGCTTGCAGGGCAAGTCTGCAGAGAGCAGGTCGCCAACAGGATCAACAGGCTGGCAGGCCTCCTGTCTCTGGCGAGAAGCAGACGCAGTAACAAATTCCTGTCTGCTGCTGGAGGCGGAGGCAGCAATGAGTCCCTCTGCTCCCAGCCTTTGGTTGAGGCTCAGGGACTGGCTCTGGTAAGCTCCCTGGCCAGGGCAGAAGCCTCTGGTGCAGGGAGTTCCTGAAGAGTCTGTGTCCCCAGTCTTCTTTCTCTTCCTCCTCCATCAAGCTCTCATCATGTTTTCCATTCCTGCAGCCCCAGAGAGTCTCAATTAGGGAGTGTCACTGGACACGGAGCAGGAAGATGTGGGTATGCAAATAAGGTTAAAAATGGGACCCATCAGGGAAAAGCTGTCAAAAGTGACTGTTCTGCTGGTGATCCCTGCGGTCCTCCATCTGCTGCTTTTCCAGCTTTGTTGCTGTGCTCCAGGCTCTGACTGTCAAGAACCAGCGCTGCAGAGATGGACCAACCGTTAAGGCTGCTTTTGCAAAGGACATAAATTCTGTCCCCAGTACCCACAGAGAGAGAGAAAGGCTATAAGAATAAGGAGGCTTTTGTTCAGCTAGTGTTTTTCTTTTCCTTTTAGCTTCCAGGGTCTTGGGGCTTGGGTTTCCCTTCTATTAAAGAGCCCTTCATTGGAGGTCCCTTCTGTCCCCATCAGGAAAGGAAAGGTTGTTTCCCCTGCCCACCCCTCAGTTAAGGATAGCAGAGTAGGGCAAGGAAAATCCTGCATTCGTTGTACCATAGAGATACCAAGTCAATATCAGTGCTTCTCACTACCAAATGTCTAGGCAGTAAATATCTTATTGCTGCTGTCCCACTAGCTGAGAACTCTGTGTCCAGGAGCTGCAAGCCATTGGTCTCTTACACTTTCAGGTACTTCCTGGAGTAGGAGCCAAGGTCTGAAATAATTGTGTGATACCATTTGTGGGGAGGCGTGAGCAAATATTAACTCAGCCCAGATAGGGAACCAGCAGCAGACCAACCACCACCAATGTCCAGTTTGGTGAAGCAAAGCATTCACTAGGGTTATTTACGTGAATGTGAGAGGTTACAGAAGCAGGGACCACTCAAAGGCACCCTGGAAGCCCACCACGACAGGAGGTGCAAACATAAGGACCTGAGTTCAGCCTTCATATGAAAAAGCCCAGTGCCAAGCTGTGGGGTCTGTAATCCCAGCCCTGGGGAAGTAGAAACAGGAGCATCTCGGGGGCCTCCTGTTCTAGCCAAATTGGTGAGCTCCAGGTTGAGTGAGAGACCTTGTCCCAAATAAATAAACAAACAAGGTAGAGAGTGACTGAAGAAGACACCGGAAGTGGATTTCTGGAATCCGTTTGCACTCATATAGGGGTAGGTACATACGACTGTGTAGTCATTTATGAGAGGCAGGGAACGGGGGTGGGGGAGATGTTTATTATGTGACAGTCATGGAGACAAGAGGTCCCAGGGGATCTCACTGAAATAAAATCAAAGCAGGTTCGGTGGGGGCTAAGTTCCTCTCTGCAGCTCTGGGGAGAATCCATTTCCACTCTTCCAGCTTCTGGAAGCCATTCACGTTTCCTGGCTCAAGTGCCCGTCCTCCAACTTTAAAGCCAGCAGCTGCGCAGAGTCCTCGCGCACTCTGACTTCCTCAGGCTCGGTCCAGACAGGCCTGCCAAGCCTCTCAAGGTTGGGATCCCCCAACCACACAGGCAATTGTCTCTGCCTGCCCCCACGCCTCCGCCCTCTTTGCTTTCAGTGTCTGGCGGGAGCTCCCGTCTCTATGGCAACAGAGGACGCGGGGGAAGCAGGACTGAGACAGTTGGGAAGCGCCCAACACCTACACCTGTGGGGATGGCTGGGGTTTCCAAGGTCCCCTCGGAGACACTGCCCTCCCCTCACCCCATGGGACCTGCTCTGCACTTCCCCGCCTCCGGGACAACTGGGATTCTCCGATGCTCCCTCGGGTTCTAACTACCACCTCCTCAGCCTGTGTCACTGTGTCCAGAGTGAGACACGGTGAAGGGTCAGCGGCCTTGAGATGAGATGATACCGCCCAGCCGCACAGGTAAGGCGCCACCTGAGACCTCAGTGAGTTTTCACTCATGATTAATCGAGGGGGGCTTTGGAGCACCCGAGCCCCAACTGCATGCAGAAAGGACCTCAAAAAAAAAAATGCTGTGGTAAAACACTAATTTCCTGGACTAGAAAGATGCCTCAGCACCATTTGACATGACAGCCAGCAACCGTCATGGGCGCATCTCCAGGACACACCAGAACGAGTCCTGAAAGCAAGCCGAGAAAGGATTCATGGCGTTGCCCTCTGCCGCCTCCACACAGGCACAGTCTCTCTCTCTCCCTCTGCCTCCCTCTCTCCCCACCTCTCCCATTTCCCTCTCTCTCACATTCTTCTCCCTCTCCACCCTCTCCCCTTTCTCCTTCCTCTCTCTCTCATTAAGGCATTTTAAACAACATTTTTCGGTGTTTTGAGAATTCCACGCAGTGTATTTACATCGGATTCACTCCTCCAGGTGTCACCTTCTCTCTACCCTCACCTCCTCAGCCACCCAGTTTTGAGTTTTCTTCTTTCTCTTTCCCCGTTGGCTCCGGTGTGTGTTGCCCAACTACTCTCAGGATGGAGGCTTGCCTTGGAGTCCGGCAGGCTCTCAGTCTCCCACCGCTGACTTTGAAGCCCCAACAGCTCCTCAGCCGGTGCTGGAATGTCTAATGCACCCCTTCCATGCTGTGATTTTTGTCCGGCTTATGCACATGCCATGGAGTCACGTGTGCATCTGCTCTGCTGTGTCTGGAAAACAAGGTTCCACTGAAGCCATCCAGCGCCTCTGGCTCTTAGAGTCCTTCTGCCCCCTCTCTGGAGAGGTTCCCTGGACTTTGGGAGAAAGGGTGTGATGTATATAACCCGTTTTGAGATGAGCTTTCCACGGCCTCTTATTCTCTGCCCTCTGTCCAGATGAGGGCCTGTGTGTCAAGAGGAAGCTTCTCCGAAGGGCTGAACGACGCAATGGGATGTTGCGGGAGTTAAACATCGCTTTCTGACTGTCTCTCAAGTCCTCTTCATGAGGTGGGACTTACACCTGACACTGTTAACGAGGCCAAGAACTTGTGGCTAGATAGGTTATAGGTCCTGGGGGATAACCTCATACCATTCTTCTCTCTCTGCTGAGTGCCACCCCAGAATGGGGCTGAGGACATAGGCTGAGGTGGTGGGACCCAGGATGGCTCTGCCCAGGGAAGCATGGAGTAATCCAGCTACTGTGAAGGTGGGGAGGCCCAGGAACGGTCCGGTGGGGTGCGGAGGGCATGGCGTGAGGAGAGAGCATCCTCCTGCTGTCCTTTGGGAACCTCTGAATACATAAATCTCTGAGTATAGCAGCAAGTCATGAGGAGTCATTTTAAGGCTCTGTCGGTTTAGCAGAATAATAGTATGGTATTAGGTATTTCCCCTATATCTATATCATCTGTCTAGCCATATATCCTTGGCCCTGTAAACAGTGCCAGGCATAAGTTCCATCTCATGGATTGGACATTAGATCCAATCAGAGAGCAATTGGTAATTCCCGTACGTTCATGCCATTATCGCATCAGTGGGCAGCATCTTGTCAGGCTAGTCATTTAAGTAATAAATAATTTAAAAACCCAAACAGACAAACACCCTGCTTGTCGGGCTCAGCAGAAGGCATGGACCACTAAGCCTGGAGACGTGTTTTCAATTCTCTGCAAGGCAAAAACAGAAAACTGACTCCTGTAAATTGTACTCCGACCTCCATAATACTCACTGTGACACACTCAGACTCACACTTACGCCGTGCCCAACACAGCCAAGGGCAACACAGGGACCTGGAAAGGAGAGGAATGCTAGAAAGAGACGTGGACTCTGGGTTGACGTCGGGAATGAACAGTTGTTTTCTTTCTTATTCCCCCAATGCTGTTTATATAGCAGCTTTTCTTAGTCATGTAGCTACATCTTGGCCAGGTATTGTCCTTGGGAAAAGAATTGCAGACCTTTTGCACAGATAGACACACACACACACACACACACACACACACACACACACACACACACATTTTTTCTTTTTTTTTTTTTTAAAGACAGCATTTCTCTGTGTAGCCCTGGCTCTCCTGGACTTACTCTGTAGACCAGGATGGCCTTGAACTCACAGAGATCTGCTTGCCTCTGCCTCCCTGAGTGCTTCGATTTAAGGTGTGGGTGAGGCACATTCTGTGCTGGCTTTCTGCTTACTGTTACTGTTTTCAGAGACCACGTGGAATCACACACTGTAAAACAATGCCAAGAGCAAAGGAAAGAAAACAGAAACCCAAAGGGGCTCCCGAACCGGTGATTCCCATTCTTCAGAAGTTCTTGAGGACATACCAGAAGCATTGCACACAGACTCGGACCTCCATGTGTCCCGCCATCCGAAGGGACCTGAAGAGCAGCATGGACACAGAGAAGGTCCTCAGGAAGGTGAGTGGTGGGATCCTGGCCTTCCTTGAACTAGAATCCCAGGGGTTCAGTCCTGGAAACATTTCCTCCAGCCCAAAGCTGGCTGCCCCACCAGCCCTGTATCTGCTGACTGAGTCACAGCCTTGCTCACTGGGCCCCAAGGGCCGGCTCCCCTGGCTGCTTCTCTTACACGCATGCACCTGCCCTCCTTTGCCTGCCAGAATGTGTTTTGTGGGGTCAGGCGTTGAGCCCACTGAACCTCATGTAACATATCACCTTCTCCGGTTCCTCCGTAAGCCCCCTCTCTTTCCTCTGACTCCAGCCTCCTCAGGCTGTACCCCTCCTTCCCTCTAGCCTCTCTCCCCACCTCTTCTGCTCTGCCCACCCCATTTACCCTCCCAGTTTCTCTATTCCTTTCTTTCTTCGGTTTCTATCAGAAGTTCACACACACACACACACACACACACACACACACATCTCACTGCCTCAGTGAGGAGCTTAAACACGCTTTTAAAAACGTGTGTGTGTGCCTGGTTGCCTGTATGCGTACCACACGTGTGCGCGTGCCAGCAGAGGCCAGAAGAGAATATCAGATGCCCTGGGACTGGAGCTGCCCAGTGTGGGTGCTGAAAACAAACCCTGGTCCTCTGCAACGATGAGCAAGTGCTCTTAACTGCTGAGCCAACCAACCTTTGGGGTGCGGGGGGGAGAAAATAATTGTTGATTAAATTTTTAAAGATTTTACTTTTTAATTATATGCATGAGGGGAGGTGTGCGTATAATTAAAATTCTGTGGAGGCCAGAAGAAGGTGTCGAATCCCCTGGAGCAAGAGCTTCAGGCCACTGTTAACTGCCCAACGTGCTCTTGACCACTGAGTCATCTTCCAAGCCCACTAATTAATTTTCGCTTTTACTGTAGTCTTTATAATTAGCCTCCACCAAATGTTTTTATTACAACCATCATCAGAAATATGACTAACAGCCCATCCGGTATAAACCTTTGGGTAGATACAACCAGAAGGGCTGCCTGAGCTGGAGGCGTGCTGAGATTGGGTTCTCCGCTTTGATTCTGAAGATCATGAAGAGCCTTGTGAGGGGCTGGAGGAGCAGGTCCGTGGTTAAGAACACTTGCTGCTTGAACAGGGTGCAAGATTGGCTCCCGGCCCCCACGTGGAGGCTCACAACTGTTTCATCACTCCAGTTCCAGGAGATCTGCTATCCCCTTCCAGCCTCCAAGGGCACCCTACACACGTAGCGCACAGACATCCACACAAGTACAACACTCATACCCTTAAGAGTAAGATAAGTAAGTCCTTAAAACAAAAAACCTTATGAAATACTCATCCATACCCTTGCTATGTAAGATGCCATTTGATGTTTTCCCACCTTTCTACTTCATTAAAAGAAAAAAAAGAAAAAAAAAAAGCTGGTTGTACACAACTAAATCGGTTTTGTGATCTAAGAGTGTGCGGTAACCTGCCGTCGCTCCGACCCCCAGTGCCACGAGCCTGTCCACACACTCAGAGGAGTGGGTTTCTCTTTATGATGGCCACCTGTAGTTTTCCTCCACTCCAGTTTATGCTTGTAAGAGCCGGCGACTTCGAGACGAGCAGACGACTTGTCTCCCTGGAGCCTTTGCTAATGACCATCCGCGAGGAAAACTACACGCTGGGCAGGGAGCTGTGCATCTGGGGCCTCCAGCTGACCAACCAGGAGATCGCCAGACTTGTGAGTGTGCTTTTCAGCTTCTCCAGCCCTTGCGGTGGAAAACAAGCCAGTAACGCCCCGCGTTCCAGGTGCAATTTATTCGGTGGCTGACTTTGTTGACGTGCTGCAAGACTGCCTTTCTTAAAAGTAACGCGGTTTTAACGAGGTGCTTCAAACTTGTTTTTAAAATGTGGAAAGTGAGGAAACTAATATCCACAAACCCACCTCCAGGGTGTGATAGACCCCTTTTAACGTGATTTTTTTCTTTAAGGATTTACTTTATGTGTGTGAAGGTTTCACCTGCAGGAATGTATGTGCGCCGCACACAATCCTGTTGGATCGACTGGAACCGGGGGTTGCAGATGGTTGTGAGCCGCCGTGTGGGTGCTGGGAACTCAACCCAGGTCCTCCGCAAGAGCAGCAAGGGCTCCTAACCACTCTGCCATCTCTCCAGCCCCATAATCTGCTCCGTGAAATGAGCAAAATGTGCAAACCAGAGAATCCAGACCAACTCTTTCACTAAGAGCGCGATAAGCTAAGCATACATGTACGCATCCATGTGTGCCCATTTACACATGATCCACGGGAGGACAACAGTCCAGGGCGTGGGAGGAGAACTCCCTAGAATTTTTATTCTTTAATTTAAATAATTTATTTATTGGGTTTTTGTTTTGTTTTGTTTTGTTTTGTTTTGTTTTTGAGACAGGGTTTCTCTGTGTAGCCTTGGCTATCCTGGACTGGTTTTGTAGACCAGGCTGGCCTCAAACTCTCAGATATCCACCTGCCTCTGCCTCTCCTGAGCGCTGGAATCACAGGCGTGCACCACTGAGCCCTGCTAGAATGCTTAGTTTAAAAGAAGGTAGTTGAGAAACTTAGAAACACGATCAAGAAACTAAGTTGGGTGTGATGGCACTTGGCTTTAGTTCTAGCACTAGAGAGGCAGAGGCAGGTAGATCTCTGTGAGTTCCAGGTCAGCCTGGTCTACAGAGTAAGTTTCAGGCCTGCATAATGAGGCCCTGTCTCAACAAAACAAAATACAACACAACACACAAAGAAGGAAAAAGTGAGCAATCAAGAGAGAGAGATGAAGAGCTTGCTGTTGGGCCTTCTCTTTTAGACCTTCTTTTCCCTGTTGATTTCATGGCTCTCCACCCTGTGATTTCCCTTCATCTGCAGTACCCAATGAAGTAAGAGGACCAGGCTGGCAGTGAGATCAGAAGATGCTGAGGCACTGCAGGACCAAATTGATCAAGAGGCAACGCTGCGTGATAGAACAGTATGCAGAGCTCAAATAAAAGAAATGGTCTGAGGAAGGAAGGAAAGAAGGAAGGGAGGGAAGGAGGGAGGGAGGGAGGGAGGAAGGAAGGAAGGAAGGAAGGAAGGAAGGAAGGAAGGAAGGAAGGA